AAAGGGGTGGGTATCTCTTCAGACTAGTGTTTTCTTCAGATATGTACCCAGAAGTGGAAGTGCTGAATCTTATGGTAATCCTATTTAAAAATTTTTGAGGAATCTTCTTCCTGTTTTCCATAGTGATGGCACCAGTTTGTATTCCTACCATCAGTGCATTGAGAGTTCTCTTGTCTCTACATCCTCACCAAAGCTTATTTTCTGTCTTTTTGATAATAGGCAGTCTGACTGGTGTGAGGTGATATCTCACTGTGGTTTTGATTTGCATTTCCCTGATTATTAGTCACATTGTGCCTGTTGGCTATCTTTGTATCTTTTTTTGAAAAATGTGTGTTCAAGGTCTTTGTTTATTATTTAACTGAGGGTTTTTTGGACAGTAAGTTGTGTAAGTTCTTATCAGATATATGATTTGCAAATATCTTCTACTCTGTAGGCTGCCTTTTCATTTTGTTGATGGTTTCTTTCACCGTGAAAAAGCTTTTTAGTTTGATGTAATCTTGTTTATTTTAGCTTTTGTAGTTTTTGCCTGAGAAGACTGGTCCTAAAAAGTATTGCTAAGACCAATGAAATAGAAAACGTACTGCCTATGTTTTCTTCTAGGAGTTTTATGGTTTCAGGTCTTACATTCAAATCTTTAATCCATTTTTAACTTATTTTTGTATGTAGTGTGAGATAGTGGCCCAGTTTCATTCTTCTGCATGTAGCTGTCCACTTTCTCCAAAACCACTTTTTGAAGATTCTGTCTTTTCCCTGTTGCATGTTCTTGCCTCCTTGTGATAGATTAATTAACCATATATGTGTGGGCTTTTTTTTCTAGGTGCTCTATTCTATACCACTGATCTACAGAATCTACAGTGTCTGTTTTTATGCCTGTACCATACTATTTAGATTACTGTAGCTTTGCAGTATAGTTTGAAATCAGAATGTGTGATACCTCCAGCCTTGTTTTTCTTTGTCAAGATTACTTTGGTTATTCAAGGTATTTTGTGGTTCAATACAAATTTTAGGATCCTTGTTCTAGTTATGTGAAAAATGCGATTGGTATTTTGATAGGGGTTACACTGAATCTGTATTGCTTTGGTTAGTATGGACATTTTAACAATATTAATGCTTCCAATCTATGAATCAGGATATCTTTGCTTTATTTGTGTCATCTTCAATTTCTTTCATCAGTGTCATAGTTTTTAGAATACAGGTCTGTCACCTCCTTGGTTAAATTTATATGTAGGCATTTTGTTCTTTTTGATACAGTTATAAATGGGATCATTTTCTTAATTTCTCTTCTGAAAGCTCATTATCAGTGTAAAGAAATGCAAAAAATTTCTGTATGCTAATTTGGTATTCTACAACTTTACTAAATTTATCAATTAGTTGTTAACAGCCTTTTGGTGGATTCATTAGGGTTTTTTATATATAATACATCAACTATAAATAGTAAGAGCTTTATTTCTTCCTTTCTAATTTGGATGCCTTTTATTTTTCTTGACTCATTGTTGTGTCTAAAATTCCCAATACTGTGCTAAATAAAAGTGGCAGGAGTAGTCATCCTTGCCTTATTCCTGATCTTAAAGGAAAAGCTTTTAGCTTTTCATCATCGAGTGTAATGTTAGCTTGTCATATATGGCTTTTATTATGCTGGTTCATTCCTTCTATACCCACTTGGCTGAGAGTTTTTCTCATAAATGGGTATTGAATTTTGAAATGTGCTTTTTCTGCATCTATTAAGGTGATCATATGATTTTTATCTTCATTTTATTAATGTGGTTTATCTCCTTGATTGATTTGCAGATGCTGAACCATCCTGGCACATCCTGGCATCCCTAGGGTAAATCCCACTTGATAGTGGTGTATGATCCTTTTAATGTATTCTTGAATTCAGTTTGCTAATATTTTGTTGAGGAGTTTTGCATTAATGTTTATCAGAGATATTTGTCTGTAGTTTTTTTTTTGTATGGTGTACTTGTTTGGTTATGGTATCAGAGAAATGCTGGCTTGTAAAATGAAGTTCGGAAGGATTCCTTCCTCTTCAGTTTTTAGGAATGATTTGAGAAGGATAAGTACTAACTCTTTAAATGTTCAGTAGAATTCACCTATGAACCCATCTGGTACTGGAATTCAAGTTTATTTGGAGTTTTTAAATTACTGCTTCAATTTCATTACCTGTAATCTGTTCATATTTCCTATTCATGATTCAGACCTGGAAAGTTGTGTGTCTCTAGGAATTTACCTATTTCTTCTAGATCTTATAATTTGGTGTATAATTGTTCATAGTGTTCTCTTATGATCCTGTGCATTTCTGTGGTGTCAGTTGTAACTTCTTTCATTTCTTTTTCTTTATTTGGCCTTCTCTCTTTTTTCCTTGATGAGTTTGGCTGAAGCTTTCCTGATTGTCATTTCAAAAAACTGGTTTTTAGTTTCATGCTCTTTTCTATTGTTAATCTCTATTTCTTTCTTTTTTTTTCTTTCTGCTCTGATCCTTATTGTTTACTTTCTTCTACTAACTTTGGTCTTTATTTGTTCATCTTTTTCTAACTCCTTTAGGTGTAAAGTTGGATTTTTTATTTTGAATTTTTCTTGCTTCTTGAGATAGGCCTGTATCACTTCAAACTTCCCTCTGAGAACTTTTTCTGCATCCCATAGATTTTGGGAAGTTGTGTTTCCATTTTCATTTGCCACAAGGTATTTTTTTATTCTTTGACTTCTTCATTGGTTGATTAGTAACATGTTGTTTAGTTTCCACATGTTTGTGTATTTTCCAGTTTTCTTATTGAATTCTAGTTTCATACTAGAAAAATATGGTAAAGGTGCTTGATATGATTTCAATCTTCTTGATTTTATTGACTTCTTTTCTGGCCTAACATCTCTCCTGGAGAATATTCCATGTAAATTTGACAGAATGGATATTCTGTGGTTCTTGGATGAAATGTTCTGTATATATCTATAAAGTCCATCAGATCTAATATGTAGTTTAAGGTCAATGTTCCTTATTGATCTGTCTGGATGATCAATCCATTGATATAAGTGGGTATTCCTTTATGTTGGTTAGTATTTGCTTTGTATATTCAGGTGCTCCTATGTTGGGTGCATAAATATCTACAAATGTTATATCCTGATTAATCCCTTTATCATTATCTAATGCCCTTCTTTGTCTTTTGTTACAGCCTTTCTTTTAAAGTCTATTTTGTCTGGTATGAGTACCAGCTTTCTCTTCCATTTGCAAGGAATATCTTTTTCCATCCCTTCACTTTGGGACTGTGTGTGTCTTTAGATCTGAACTGAGTTTCCTGTAGGCAGCATATAGATGGGCCTTATTTTTTAATCCACCCATCCTATGTCTTTTGATTGAAGGACTTAGTCTATTTTAAAGTAATTATTGATAGTTATTTACTTATTGCCATTGCTATTTTGTTGTTTGTTTCCTGGTGTTTTTGTAGTTCTTTACTCTTTCTTCTTCTCTTGGTCCTGTCTCCTGTGGATTGGTGGCTTTATGTTTGGGTTCCTTTGTCTTGGTATGTGTACCTATTTTAAGTTTTTGATTTGTTGTGACCATGAGGTTCATATATACTGACTATATAGATAGCAGTAGTTCAGATTTTGAAAGCATTACATTTTTACTACTGCCCCCATCATGTTTTATGTTTTTGACATCATTTTATTTTGTGTATCCCTTAACTACTTATTGTAGGTATACTTAGTTTTACTATTTTTGGCTTTTAACCCTTCATACTAACTTTTTAAGTGGCTGATTTACTGCCTTTACTATATATGTGCCATTACCAGTGAGATTTTTTTCTTTCACATATTTTCTCATTTCTAGTTATGTCCTTTTCCACTTCACAGAGACTCATTGATATTCTTGTAAGGCTGGCTTAATGGTAATGAACTCCTTTAGCATTTGCTTGTCTGGAAAACTCCTTGTGTCTTCTTCAATTCTAAATGATAACCGTGCCAGGTAGAATATTCTAGGTTGGGAGTGTTTTCCTTTCAGTACTTTGAATATATCATGCCACTCCCTTCTGGTCTGCAAAGTTTCTGCTGAAAACTCAGACAATAGTCTTGTGGGATTCCCTTTGAATGTGACTATTGGTTTTTTCTTTTTCTACCTTTAACATTTTCCCTTAGCTTTTGCCATTTTAATTATAATATATTTTGGTGTGGATATCTTTGGATTCATCTTGTTTGGAACTGTACTTCTGGACCTGAAGGTCTGTTTCCTTCTCCAGATTAGGGAAATTTCCAGCAATAATTTCTTCAAATAAGTTTTCTGCCCTTTCTCTCTCTCTCTTAGCCTTCTGGAACCCCTATAATGTGAATGTTAGTATGCTTGATGTTGCCCCAGAGGCCCCTTAAACTATTCTTGTCTTTTAAAATTCTTTTTTCGTTTTGCTGTTCTTTGGGTGATTTCTACCACTCTGTCTTCCAGATTGCTGATCTTATCTGTTGTTTCCCTTTGGTGCATTTTTCATTTCAATTATTGTATTCTTCAGCTCTGATTGGTTCTTTCTTTGACTCTCTGTGTTTATTTCTATCAATTTTGCAGGACAGCTGCTTCTCCTGGTCTTGAAGGACTGGCCTTGTGCAGGAAAGTCCCCTGTGGGGGTCCTGTGGTATTTCACAGGTTGGCTGGAGTAGCCATGGGCCAGGGCCATCCCAGGGCACTCCACATCCGGGCTTCCCAGGAGGTATGGCTGGTGGTGGAGCTCACAGACCAGGGGTATCCTGATACACATAATGCTGGAGCGGTCCTGGCAAAACAGCTGGTCCAGCACAGGCTGGTTGGGGCTTGGAGCTGTGCCAGGCTGCCTTGGTAGGACAGCTGAAGCTGGTGGGATACAAATACTCAGTCCATAACATTCACCATTGTAGCACCAGAACCCAGAAGAGAGTCTGGCATGTACTAGGCAATCAATAAATATTTTCTAAGTAACTTAATGAATTATAGAAGTTCATTCCCAATAAGTTCATATAAGTTGCCCCACATCTAGCACTCCATCCTGCAGGTCAGGGCGTGTCACTGTACATTCCCCAGTCTGCCATCAATGCCACAGTGGAAGACGACATCCTGCTCTCAGTTGAATATTCCTGCCATGGTGTCCCAACCATCGAATGGAAGTATACGTCCACCTGGGGAGTGCAAAAGATTGTGGAATGGAAGCCAGGGACTCAGGCCAACATCTCCCAAAGCCACAAGGACAGAGTCTGCACCTTTGACAATGGCTCCATCCAGCTCTTCAGTGTGAGCGTGAGAGATTCTGGCTACTATGTCATCACAGTGACAGAGCACCTGGGGAGCAGCCAGTTTGGCACCATCGTGTTGCATGTGTCGGGTAAGACATCCCCAGGGGCCCAGCACCCCTCTGAACTGCAAGTGTGTGGGGAACTGACTGCACAATATTAAAAAAGACATTGTCTCCCCCTTCCCCTCATCCTGCTCCCTAGAGATCCTCTATGAAGACCTCCACTTTGTTGCTGTCTTCCTTGCTTTTCTTGCTGCTGTGGCCGCAGTGTTAATCAGCCTCATGTGGGTTTGTAATAAGTGTGCATATAAATTCCAGAGGAAGAGAAGACACAAACTCAAAGGTAATTCTCTGGGCCTTGTGATAATTCATGCTTTTATGGCTGGAGGTAGCACATGGTATCTTGTTCTCACCAAGAAACTACCTTGCAGCTGACTTGCAACTCACTGACTTGTTTTTGCTTTGCAGAAAGCACAACTGAGGAGATTGAGCTGCAGGATGTTGAGTGTTAGCCAAGACTGGGCCCAATTACAGTCCTACCTCAAGAGGAAAACATTATTTTCCAACAAAAGGAGTAAACATGGCCAATCTACCCCAGAGCCTCCTGTTGTCCCACTACAGCCACCCATTCCTGATGAGACTGCCAGACATTAACAAAAGTGACTGTGTGGAGTTGAGGACTCTGGACTGGAAGGTCCTTCCTAGCACTTGCACAAAGTTCAAGGAGAAGTGTGCTTGAGCTTTGCTTGGCTGCAGCTTCAGGGCCATGCTGACCCCTACCAATGGTTTGGCACAGGCACCTGCTGCTAGCGCACTGTTCTGTTCTTGCCTGGGGGTTGGCCGTTGGAGGAATCCCGGTATCTGAAACCAGAGTATCCAGACTGAGTGTGCAGTCAGCACTGGAACAAGTTCTCTGTGCTCCTGTTTGCTCTGCTTCTGCCTCTAACCCTCTGCCGCAGGGGCAACTGTGAGAAAACCTGAGGCTTTTAGACAGTCTGCTGCCCACAAAGCAGAGGTCGGGACCAAGAGCCTGCTGTTCTGCTGTCTTGAGTTACTGTGAGCAGGGCAAGGACCCCATGGCCTGGAGCTTTAAGGAGAGGATCTTAACATGTTCCTGAGGGACCAGCACTGGTAATAAGGAATAGAGAGAAAATTACCATGCTCTTCATTTTATTCCAACATCAATTGGATTTTCCCTCCTACAGCCCTAATTTGCACCAAAGTTCTTCTCCATTATGGGCAGCATCTGGCCTCCAAATGGCCTCACGACAAGCTAGGTAACACTACCTGTATGAAAGCTGCATGATGAACAGTACAACTGGGCAGTTAGCTTGGGCTTCAGATCCATCCCCTGCATCACCAATGCTTCATGTCTCAATCAGGCCCTTGCTCTCTCCCAGCTGGGCTAAGAACCATTTGGTGCTCACGTACCTCACAGTCAGGGTATCAAGTGAAGCCCACAGTATGCACAGAGCTCACCGAGCAAGTTAAGAACAGCCTGAGGAGTCTTCAAGAATCTGGAAGGCAATAAGCACTAAATTATCCGAGTACTGGAAACTGATAAAATGTTCTGAGTATTGGGGTTCCAGGTAGAATTGGGGACCAGGTCCCTGCTGGCCTTGGCTCTTATTCTCTCAGGTTGTTGATCACAGTGTTTACTTGAAAGGTTCTCCATCCCAAGTCCCATCTGGCAAGCTCTTTATTAGGCACGAGTTCATTTTCCTTGATCTTTCCCTCTCTAGCATGCTTAGCCACAGACCGAAAGTATCACCCCACTGGCAGTGGAGGCCGAGGCTCAGCAGTGGAGGCTGAGGTTAGTAGCTGTGTCCCCAGCCCTCAGCTGCAAATTCACCCATGTAAATATGAAGGAGAGCTAGCACATTGCCTTCCTGTTCTCTCTCTAAGTCCCAGATGTCCACATCTTTTCCACTCCCCCATGTGGCAGACAAGGAGTTAACTGGAGACGTTAGTGTGAGGCCTTTCTTTGAATCATGAATCCAGGTTTACAAGAAGGGATCTTTTGGAGTATACAGACAGGAGCCCTCAGGATCTACAATGGCTCCAAAGGCACTACTTGGTCTGTAAGGCAAGAGAGAAGTCTGTCTACACAACTGACTTGCAGCTCTAGCACCTGCCACATAGAAGGTTTTTGCCCTCGGGCCACCTGTACACGTGTATAAACATGAATACCTGAGCCCTTTCCCCAGGTGATGGACAGAGGAACCAAGCCCCATGCCAGGAGGTTCCTTATTCTGGCCTCCGGTCCCATGAAGCAGAAGGGTGAGGATCCCAGATTAAAGGGGGTCAAGGATGATGTGCGCAGTTCTCTTTGACACAGAGCCCAACTGCAGGAAGGCAGCTTGGATGGGTGGCTGTGGAGTCTGTGTGTCCCCCGACACCATCTGCCTCCCAGAATTCTACCTCCCAGCTTGTCAGGGGGTAAAGTTCCTAATCAAAGGAGAAATGGAAATGAGTCCCCAGTGAGAGGCCTCCGTGAGCAAACCCAGATGTAAATTAAACTGTTCCCCTCCCCAAAACTCACACAGGGTTATTCCCTCAGCTTTCCATTTCTTTATTTGGCACTTTTAAAGCTCCTTCTGTCCTGAACATTCCCTTGGAAAGTGTTTGATTCCTGAGCCTGAGGTTTTTGTCTCTTTCAGAAAAGAGAATATTAAATCATAGAGGCTGGCCCCTGTAAATGTTAAACTATAAGTTATATTTTCAGCTGTGAAAAAATTGGTTTGAGAGAATGAAATAAAAACTGAAAATCAAGCCCTGGCCCTTTGTGTGCATACCTACGCCTGCCTGGAACCCAGGCCCTGGGCGGGGCTTCCATTGGCCACTGGCAGGAGCCACCCGCAGCTCCGCCAGGGTCTGGCACATTTCTTAAATGACAAGGGAACTAATAACAATGGTTCTAACTGTAAACATTCTTTAGCAAATCAGAAAACACCACCTAGTGAGCCTATCATTCTCCCCTGTACTGTAGCCAGACGACTAATTGAAGTTTCTGCTTCCATAATATTAACTGTAATTCAGGAGTCCACACAAACGAGGGTGACAGTTGTTCCACCTCACTGAACAATGCGCGACAGAACATACATGCTGTGAACAGAATGTCACCGCCGAGACTGGGATCCAAGAAACCAAGGTGTACACTGTACCTTCTCATTTCATGGCGTTCGGGTGCACGAGGAGCGCTGACTCGGGAAGCGGTTCTGGGGCCCACAGGAGATGGTACACAGCCCACCGCACTTTGCGCTCGCTGCAGTTAGCAATCACGCCCCACAGGGGTGAGGACAAGGGCGGCGAGAGGTCGGGAAGCTTCTCGGGACGTCTTGCCCCTGCAGTAAAGCAGAGACAAGCCCTGAGGGAACACAGTTCAGAAGGGCTGGGTAACTAACACGGGGAGAGGGGAGGTGGCGGAACAGAACGCGGGGAGATGTAACCAAGACCAAGGGACCCAGGACGACCCCGCAGGAACGCGACCCCAAGGCAGTCGTCCTTGACGCCGAAGGGTGTGTCGGGGGAAGGAAGACCCTGTCAGCAGCTCGCAGTTCTGCCCAGTTTCCAGGCAAGCATCAGACACATCTCTAGGTCACTGAAAATAGAGCAGCCCCCCGTGGATGTTGTCGGCGTCTCTCCGCACTGCGGCTTCCGCTGGCGAATGCTGTGAGCTGGGACGTGTGCATCTCTGCACACCCAAACCTGCGTCCGCCGTCAGCTTTTCTGATCCTTGAGAACATGATTGCTGAGTTCACTGTTTCCACTGCCCTTCAAAACTTAGGTGGGTGTTTTGGGTTTGGTCTAAGTACAAAGGTGATAAACCCTTCTTTAAAATGATAGTGAAGTCTATATGAAGCAAAAACTACTCTATCCTCCAATCCTACTCCTCAGAGGGAACAGTAGATGCATTTGGTATGTTTCCCTCTAGGCTTGCTTAAGCATATAGCAAGGCATCTGTATACACACACACTGCAATATACATATTTAATCCACTTTCTTTTTAGGCAAATAGGATTCTATTATACATATCACCCTACATTTTGCTCGTTTTTCCTCAAAGTTTCTTGGGCATTATTGCATGTCTTTATTTCTAAGCTTCATTCTTTTTACTGCTTGCACAATGCAATCCATAGCATGAATGTATAATAATTGTTCACTGAAAAGTTACCTTTTATTTCAAATGAAATATACAAAAATATCTTGGGCAATCTCTCTCATACATCAGACTTGTTCCTTCAACCAAGGTGGCTTCCCTCTTGCCAACTATTAATGTTCACCTCTATCTCATATGCAGCCCTTCCTCTTTTGGGAACTTTAGAGTCAATGTTTTATAATACTGGTGGGCTTTGTGTTAAGTTTATAAGAGACTGCATGTTTAGAGAATGGAGAAAGGGCATTGCTATTGTAAAATAAGTGTAAAGTTTTAGCTTTGGATTTGACCTTACAAGTAGTGTATGCACAAGTAGGTTCAGTTTCTTTGATGCAACAGACCAGTGGTGATTTAGGTAGTTGTCTTTAAAAGTACTAAAAGCATTTTTCCCTCGTGGTCTGAGTTTTTTCTTACTAAAAAAGTAAACTTCTTAAATAAATCAGTTGCCAGTTTTTATTTTATCAACAATACAGAATGCAAATTTGAACTCCTGGCCAGTGTGAGCTAGTCAAGGGTTATCACTTTGATTTGATGTGTTCTGGTGAAATCTGATAGTAAGGTTTTAGAGGTAAATGTATGATTTCCATTAGGCTTTTTCAAATACTGAACACAGATCTTGATTACTGCCTTTTTGGATCTCCAGGAGTTGGGATTGGCAGGACCTGTAAGGACAGTTAAGAGAGAAGTTGTGGATAGATTTGGGTAAGAGAGTAGACTCAGCCACTGGCCTCATCTCCTTGGTATACACATTATCGGGAACACTTGCAGATTGTAGGTTCCTTTTAGATCGCAAACGTCTCCCTCATCAGGTTTCCAGACAACTAGTCTGTTCTACAACCACAGTTTCATGATCAGTAAGCAGGGTAATGGTTACAGTAGAACACGGAAGTTTTTCTGGTTCTGAAGCAAGGACAGCTAGAATGGAAGGCGTGGAAAAACTCCTTGGCCATTTGAGCTCAACTTTCAGAGAAGTAAAAATAAGTGTCCGTGTCTGGGGCTCCTCCACCATAATTTATTCAGTCTTCTCTTATTGGACCTTCAGATTGATTTCAATCTTCCACTTCTACAGGCCTCCTCGATAAACCTTACAGTCATCTTTGTGAATCTCTGCTTTGTGAAGTGTGTCTATAGGCTAAGTTTCTGAAAGTGGACTTGTAGATAGAAGCAGCAGACTTTACAACCACCACCAAGCTCTGGTCACTGACTTCTGACCACTTGCACCACAGTGCCCACTATTTCAAGACAGGATTTTCCAGTTGTCAACTGCCTATTGTCTCAGTTCTCATCCTAAAGTGTAAAATATGGGAAATAGTTCCCATCCTAAAGTGAGATTCAGCCACGTTAGCCCCAAGTATGTCAGGTTTCAGTGCAGAACAGGAGTAGGGAAGTGAACGTGAACAGAGAAAGACAAAGGCAGAGGACACGGGGAGAGCTGACCGTAGAGCACGGCTCTAAAAATGGACTGAGAAAACGAAAATCTTCATACCTACAGATGCACTCACTGTGCTTACTTTCTGTAAATTTAAACAATACAGGACATTCTAAAATGCTTTCTCCTAATGAGATGTAAAAATCTGGGATCTTAACCATTTTTCAACTTCAAATTGGCTTGACATTTAGAAAAGCATTGCATGGTGCTTTCTATAGCACAACACTCTAGAATTTCACATCCTTACCAACTGTATTGAAACCTTTGAACCACGAGGTTGCCATTTTATATGGAAGCAAACAGTTCAGAGAGGTACCCTTGCCAAGCTCGGCAGCAGAGCCGACATTTCTACACAGCTCTTTGCTGACCTGTTAAATACTAGGTGAGGGACTAACTGGTTTTCTCCAACCTGCCTCTCAAATGCCTTGCACATACTGACAGCATCAGAGAATTCAGGACAAATCATTAAGCTGGGAAATGTAAGTAGACACAAGACCGAAGAGTCGCTGGCACAGCAACTCAGCTGCCATTTCCCGTGTTTAGTTTCCACTGTCCTTCAGCTGGGTGACGGCTAGTCACTAGACACTGACTTACAATGAGGGGGACAGGAAGGCGTGTGACGATCAGGTTGGTCTTCGGCCACTCCACTCAGATGAAGTTTCACAGGACAGGTGGTAACATTGGTGCATGAACTCCCATCAGTTTCATGCAAAGTGTCCTACCACTGGTTCTCGGCGAGACAATCAGAGAAAATACAGCTTTCAGGATTTTCACTATCTGACAGCCATTTCATGTCTAGTATAAAAGGGGGGTTTTTATTTTGTATCTTTTAAGCTTTTTTCTACTAGTTTATTTTTATTATATTTTAGTGAAATATCAATCTTCAGTGAATAGACATTTAAAAAACCAAAAAGTAGTCCTTTGTCAAGGTTTGCGGGTCATAGTACTACAGTGTGAGCCTTCGAAATGACACAAAAGGCTCCTCAGGTGAGCAGAACTGTACAGATTAGCTTAGTAAAATTAGCTAAGGCAACTGTTGTGGGCCACCATAAGTTAAGAAGCACTAAGATTTTAAAAGCCATTTCATATTTTAATTTCAATTACTTTAATTTTCATGGGTAGCAAGCAAGGGTACAATACCTTGATCAGAAGGGGAAAAAACAAACAAAAACCCAAAGGTATTAAGGTATTCTGTGGCTTACAAGCTCTGTTTTGCTTTTAAAAGAAAAATAGGTCAGATAAATACAGAGGGCTATAAGTTACTTCATGTAATTTATTAAAAGGATATCTTAAAAATTTATAAAAAGGGTATCTTTACTCAACTTACAGTGGTTCCAAAGGCCCAAAAGCCTGTCTCTCATTAAGGGAAGTTCCTCAGGCACATTTTAGGATTGGGGGACTATGTCTAAGAAGTTCAAACATTTTATAAAATGTAACCCATTAATCCATTAGTATTTTCCCCTTGTAAAAGCAGAGAGCTAATGGAATGAGACAGGACAAGACTTTGATTGGAAGAGGCAGTCCAGGGCCGCAGGGCAGGGGCCGGAGAATCCCAGGGATGGAGCAAGATGTGAGTGGCCTGGGGGAGCACTGTCATTCCAGTGGGAGAAGAGGCCAAACAGGGACCCCAGCACTCCCTACAGATCCCAGTACCTTCAGCTGGTGCTTTCTGAGGACATTCTCAAAGTACCAGTTTAGATGAGACTCAGGCATGCAGAGAAGACAACTGGACGAAGCGGTACTTTATTCACTAAGAAAAGAGCATGCTTAATCGCTCAGGTATGGAAGAGAGGACAGGCCCCTTCTGCTGGCAGGCTCTTTGTCACACTTCAGGGAAAGGGTCCACCTCTCTCAGCGTGAGTGAATTCCTGCACGAAAGCTGGGCCGTAAGAATATTCTTGTTCAATTTTTTACCAAATAATGGAACAAGACAAGTAGAATAAAAGACACAATTCATTAAGGTTAAGAGTTCAGAGAGTGAATGGACTTTTTATCCCTTTATTTGATGTCAACATCGAAAGAATATTTTAAAATGCAAACTCAAACCTGTAAGTTATTAACATTTCAAGTTAACTGCATGAAAAGTAGTATTTTACATCTCCCCGTACTATATACCCCGTAATTGTACATAAACTTCTGCGTTTCAAAGTCCTTGTCATTTATAAAATGAAAGGTCTCAAAATGCTAGTTAAACATTTGCAAACTGTTACTTTATAAAACTATTCCTTTGGAAGAGTTTTCTTCCGTGTGCTTACACTTTATCCACAGATATCTCAAGTCAAAGTTTCTGGAAACATCTCTGGAAAAAAAACTGGAAACTTCTTGAAGATCATAGTAGACAAGGGCTGAGAGCAGACATAAGCAGCTCCATTTTATAAACAAAGTTTCGACCTTCCATTTTATTCCACTGAACTTCTCTGAACGGTCCACGAAGGTGATTCCATTTGCTGTCTTGTAAGACATCACTTTTTGGAAGGTCTTTACACTGGTTACGGGGAAACTGAACCATAATCTTGCTGCCACTTTCAGGGCCGTTACGGACTATGGGACAAAACCAAAATATCAACGCGCATATTAGAAAACAAAAGGATCACACAACTTCATTCTGCCAAAAATACAAAAACCTTGTCTGTTTATCAATTTAACATTTCTTATTTAGAAGTGCTTTTCAGTTTCAATCTGCTAAAAAAAAGTACTAATTTATCTATAGTAGGCGGGTATAAATACTCATGAATCACTGTATTATAAAAATGCAGCAAAATGAACTTTGGCGTAGGAAAGTTAAATGTCCTGTATCTTCAGAAAATCACCAATTTATTTTTTCTAAAACATTATTTAATAATCCAATCACTCAAGGAATTGGTTTATATCTTATAATGAAACTCAAACACTCAGAGTCGGGATTAGGAGTGATGATGGGACTATTATTCCAAATTAAGAACTTCAGGCTTGAATGAGGCTTTATTACTCAGGAAAGAAGAAAAGGGTGTTCTGACTTTCTTATCAATACAGGCCTAGCAATGACCAAGCCTGCAGATTCACAAGCTGTGACTCTGTGGGTAAAATGTCTAATTACCCACTTTTTCAAATACTTAGAGCAGATACTAAAAAAGATCACACTAAAATCATAAGCACTCCAAATATAAACTTCAACTAAACAATAGGCGGAAGGCCCGTTCAAGTTTTCCAAATATAAACTTCAACTTAACAATAGGCGGAAGGCCCGTTGTTCAAGTTTCCCCCGCAGAGCAGACGCTGAATAAAACCTCTCCTCTCTAGTCCACCCCTTAACCATGTCCAGGATCAGACATTATTCTCGCATAGTTGCAGCAGTTCATTTTTAAAAAGCATTTATCCATGAAAGGTTTTGAACTGCATGCAGGAATAACAATGCTGATGGCAGTTTTTAGGTGATCTTAGGAGAATGTGTTGCAAGCAACATCTTATTTAAAACTACTGTAGAGAGAAGTAATAATCTGTTGGTCTGAATGATAGCTATGATCAGACATACGCTCAGCATACCAACCACATGAACTCACTTGCAGCAGAGGTCAATTACGTATGTGTAACTGTGAAAGCTGAATGTTAAGGCCAAACCCCCAAAGGGCCTCCCACACTGAAAGCAGCAGCAAGTACCTGAAATGGCATAGTCCCCACTTGGGGAGGCCACCATGACGGCAGAGGCGTTGCCGATGCTCTCCATGGGCCCAAGCCCCATGTGATTCCCGAAGCTCAGGACCTGCCAGCCCATAACCTTGGCCAGCTGCTGAACTGCATGCACCTGGTGCTGTGACATCTACGAAAGAAAGAGGACACTCTACTGACAATCAGCATGGGCACATCTGCAGCAACCTGACATCACAACTGTAAAGTAAACATCTGTTGGGGTTTTCAGCACCTGGCGTGGAAACCCTAGCCCATGTCTGAGGTCGCCTCCTCTGTGTACCTACTGGACCCCACCTTCCAATGCAGAAGCTAGAATAGCCTGGGGCTTGCTTTCCCTGTCCACTGGCAGCTTGGGCACAGGCACGACTCAAAACCAGCCAACTGCAGACACCCACCCGCAGCACTGACTGGGGCGCCCTATTAAGAGCAGCAGGGCACGTGGAACATCCCCCATTTGCCCTTCGAATCTCAAAGGTTGACCTGTCCGGTTACATTAGCAGCTTTCTGTCCTCTGGATTGTTTGGGTTCAGATAATGGGAGCTGTGCAATCAGGATGGCAAGGAAGAGAGTGAGGTCAGGGCATTTCTGTCCCGGTACCCTCTCGTGAGGGTGTCCGGGCTGCTTGCATCCCGTGACAAAAGGCCACTGGTCTTTTTAAGGTGGCCTATTGTACATGACTCTCCCTTTTAGGGTACCTGTCACTTGTGTCTCCCTTACCCCTTTGGTTAGGGCTGGTTATTGTTAGCAGCAGGTTACCACAGTTTCACTGGTGGTTCCCCTACACCCACACTACCCACACTTTTGTAAGTCGGTGCTAGGAAAATAAACTGACCTGAAATTCTCCTGAATGTGCCAAGTATTTCCCACTAACACCGTGGCTGATACACGGGGGCAAGTTAGAGTGCATCCCGCCACCAGGGATGAAGGCTCGGTGTCAGGAGGGCAACAGTGGTATTCCCCAGGACTGATCACTACCTAGCTTCCTTTGATCCGTATTCTTTGTAAGCCTTGTTCTCTAGATTTCCCATTGATTCTGGGAGCTACCCAGTAGCCTTCCAATACATTTCTCTGTGTGCTTAAGTTGACCACAGTCATTTTAGGTGTAATCAACCAGGAGCTGCTGCACCTCACAAATGCATTTTATTTAACTGGTACCAAGGAAGCAAATCAGTAAAGAAGAGTGTTGCTTCTAGGATGAAAGTGTATTTTTAAAAGAAATTTTATGAGTAATAAATACATCTATTATGTGAAAGCTACATTAGCATTTTAAAGCCTACCCTTTCTTCCATAAGGAAGTTTTTCACTGGATCACTACAGCTCCACAAAGAGGGCAGGAAAATACAGTTCTTACTTTACAGATGGGGAAAGAAAGGCACAGAAATTTGTCCAGTGTCACAAAGCAACGTTGTGGTGGAGCTGGGACTAGAAGACACAGCATTTTAAATAAACTCTTTATTGGCTTAAGATAAAAACTTTCCATTTACTATTATGGAGAATGGTTACTAAAGTTTCTCCCTTTCTCTGATTTCCTTGGGTGAATACTCCACTTTCATGTGGTCCCAGAGAGGTATAGACCTTGGCAAACATGAGAAATAAAGAAAAGTTTGTGAGTCTCAGAAATAGTCCTTCATCACAAATACAAATTAGGTGGGAATAAGTCTAGGACAGCTTTTCAACATTTTCAATCAACCAGTAGGTTGTAAAATGTGTACTACACATTCAATAGATTAAAAAGATGGCACAGAAAGTGGTGTTCCTCTTATAACTTACTGTACCTCTTTAAATGGTTGTGAGAGGCAGGGTCTGCGCGCTCACAGTCGGCGGCGGTTACCTGGGACAGGAGGAAATCCTGTAGCTCCTGCTCCTGGTGAGACAGTGTGATGACTCTTCCGTCTCTGTGTACAACTCGGATCTGCTCAACTCCAATATTCAACTGTAGCTGAATGGACCTTTACAGACAGACATACTAAAAATCAGAAATGTTCAAAGTCATCTCATACAATGCCACAAACATTAACCCTTAACATCAAAGAAAAAGAAAGTAATGGTTTTGATGACCTAGACCAACACCTGGGAAAAGAGGGGTTTTCTGAGGATCAACCAAACCGTGAGACTCCCATCGGCCACCGCAGTGAGCACCAGTCCGCCAAGGAGGGTGTGGGGAGGAACCACAGCTTGCCTGGGGCCAACGGCGGCTGCTCATCGACTCTATCCTTGCAGGACAAGAAGCTGTCGACACAGGAGCAGTGCACCTTGTTGCAATGAGATGAGATGCCCACTGGGTATGTGTGGAGTCTGCCCTGACTTGGACCTCATTTCCCAGAGCAGCCGCGTGCTCCTGTAGCAACTCCGCACCGTGGTTCCCAGGGTGCCCACGAGAGACACTACCCAGTTTGGTAGTTACCCCACCTGGGGAAATCCAAGGGCATCCCCATCGGGTGTTTCTAACTCCTCCCGGTCCAGGTCCGTTCCACTAGTTTGGGATTATTTTTGGTATAAGCAATGCTGCCTAGTAGCCAGATGGCATCTCCCCATGTCAGGTTACTAGGGTTCCAGAGCTAGAAAGTTAACCAAAGGTCAGATTCTCATACAAAAAGAGAAAAGGCTTTGTTAGTTCTTCACCTACTCCTGAAATAATTAGCAAGTAACTCAGAATGTAAGTCCACACTATTTATTAACCTGGCTTTGGTCACAGAAACTCGTAAGACAGCCAGTGAATAACACATCACTACACTCTTCCAAACCAGTTTATAAATTTTTAGCATAGGCATGTACAAGGAACACAATTCTCCAGATCAAATTACCTAGATGTATAAATGCAGAAAAATACAGCGTATCATTCCACACTTGACAGTACCTCTTTTTTTCTAACTTTAGTTTACAGTAAATATTTAGGAATAAAACATTTTGGCCATTGTCTATATAAAATTTTAATTCTGATGAATTAAAATTTATTTATTTCTTTAAAGAGAAATGCAAAAGTCAGAAGGCTTAAAGGAAAAGACTTATAAATCTAACCAAATTTTTAAAACTCCTTTTTTTTAAAAAGGGTCTGGGGAAGAGGAATTCTTATCACTATTGGAAGGAGCAATTAATCAAACATTAATCAAAACTGCAAATGTCCTAATCTCTTGACCCAGCAGTTACACTTGTAGGACTTTATCCTATGGATACACTTGCAAATGTATAAATTACTTTGCTGGCATCTAATTAAAATGTTCATCAAGAGAAGGCTGATTAAAAGTCTTCATACATACAATGGAGCACAAAAAGCTGTAAAAAAGAATAAATCTATGTGCTAATTAGTAATGCTTATTCACCAAAGGACTACCAAGTAAAGAAGTACACAAATCGAGAGTGACTCCTGCTGGGCACAGGCTTTCTTTTTGGAGTGATGGAAATGTTTGGGAATTAGACAGTGATGATAGTTACACAACGTAGGGAATATACTAAAAACCACTGAATTGCACTTTAAGTGGTCAACTTTCATATGTGAATCAGTATCTCAATTTTTAAAACACAGCATCATATAAAATCAGCAGGATATATATGCTTGTAAATGCAGACTTTTCTAGAAGGAAGTATAAGAAACTGTTTCCAATGCATGCTTCTAGGGAATTCTAGGAAACAGAATTACTTTCAACTTTAAATAGTGTAAAATGACCTCAGCTATGAAAGACGAGGGAAAGGACACTCTACTATGGCCCTCTTCCTGTGTCCTTCCAGTTCTGTCAGGGCTACATTATCACTAACCTTTCCTCACAATTTAGAACCTTGGCGCTTGGAACGATATCCCACAGTTGTGTGATGTTTCAGCTGTTAACAACTCAATACTGACGGTTTTTTTCTTTTCCTCTCCTTTGTGCTCATTCTCTCTTCACTTTATATTATGGAAAAGTTTTAAACACAAACAGAAGCAGAGTGTAGTATAATGAAGGCTGATGACCCCATCACCCAGCCTTAACAGAACACACACCAAACTTGTTTCGACTCCTACTCTCCTACCACAGCCCAAATCACCCCAAATATTTCATTCTTTAGGTACAGACGAAGAAAACCACACTCCAGCTTCACTCCACCATCTTTTCCTACAAGTTTCAAGACTGATTTCCTTTCTGTTGTGTACTCTTTTATCTTCTGTATTTGATCTTTTAAGTCATGCTCATCTACTATTTTTCATTAAAAAAAAATTAAAGCCTCCATAGTAAAAGACAACAGTATAAATATGTTACACTCCCTTACTCCTTAGGGTGGGGTTTTGTTTTGAGGTGTGTTTTGCTCACTGGAGAGACCACTGTGGCTTGTCAGGACTGCCTGGAATAGAGCGACTGAAGCTGGGAAAATGTGAAGCCCTCAGAGCCTGACAAACGCCTGCTAGTGACTCTCTCAGACCGACGCGGGAGTGGGCAGCTCTGTCTTGTCAGTTGTTAAATTGCAGAGGCTCAAATGGAGACCAAAAGTGCCTTTCGGGGCTACTAGCTAACTGTATGATCTTGGTGTCTCCCCCCGAGTTTTACTGAGACATGACTGACATATATCATTGTGTTAGTTTAAGGTGAACAACACAATGATCTGACGTATGTACTGCAAAATCATCACCACAGGAAGTCAGCATCCATCACCTCACAGTTACCTACTTTTCTGTGAGTGATGAAAACTTGTAGGATATACTCTCTTAGCTACTGCCAAACATACAACACAGTATTTACTATGGTCACCATGCTGTACATCACACGCCCAGGACTGACTGACTTCATAACTGGAATGCTCTACCTTCTGACCGCTTTTACCCATTCACCCCTGCCTTCTGGCAACCACTGGTCTGTACATTCACCTGTCATTTGTGAACGTACACCACGTGGACACGTCCCTGTGAATGCTGGGGACAGAAGCCATTTTGTCCCCTCTACAGACACAGCTGGCAGCCTAGATCTACGGGCATCATCAGGAATTGGATTAGACTCGGAACTAATCCCAGGCCAGGAGAGAGCTACAAAACTCGGCCTGATTCGGTACAATATGGAGACCATGCGCTCTAATGTGGGTGGCCCTCCTCCAAATGGCCTGGACCTGCCACAGCCTTGACAAGTTCTGACGCAGACTGGAATCTAAGGAGGGGTGGCAGCCTTCTGCTCAGGGCTGACGTTCACTTTGCACCACAGCTCAGTGTGTGACCGTTACTAATAACGACTATTTTAGCCATTCTTACTTCTCATTTTTATAAACACTCTACAGTTGATATAATTTACTGGAATGTTATGCTATACTAGCAAATAAAAAACAAAATCTTGATATACATCACTCAACAAACTTCAATATATAAAAAGCAACTGAATATATTAAACAAATACCTTGTTTTTGACACTTACTTGCATATTTGTTCATAACCTTGTGAAGTGATTAAAACTTTCACACTGGATTCATAAACATCATTAATATTTGACCAATGGGCCTGTATCTGAGGGTCCTCGATGCGACTGGCTAAGCTGTCAATAGTTGCAGCAGTTCTTTGAAAGAAAAGAAGTTGACGATTTTAAAATGTCACTATAGAAAATAGTAAGATTATTAATCATCTCTCAATTTTATGGATATTTGAAAACCAGATGACTACTATTTTTGTAAAGATTTTAAAGGAAGGTCACGGGCTTGGAGCCCCCCTTCACATTGCTCTGAGGTGCTGGCTGTCAGCATCGCCTTGCAACGTACTCTCAGGCACCGGTTTGTGTGATTTCATCTCCAGTCTGTCTTCCCTCACCCAGGAAAGCTTAGCAGACCACAGTGGAAAGGATGCTTCTTGAAGCCTGGCCTCAGCTCTGTAAGGACAATCATTCATAAATGTCGGGACTTGAACCCTCATAACCAATGACCTGGGACACACCCACAGCTGAGGCCCACTGCTGTAATGGAATTCTAATCATTTTCACAAGAAGCCAGAGAGACTTCCTGCACAATTAAAATCTACTCTAATATGATAAATATATGACATGTATAGGTGAGAAATAAGACTCATCAAGTCCTCATTATATACCAAATATTGTAGTACTTTCAGGAATTATATAATTTACTCTTATTAGCAACCATGAGGTAGATACTATATCATTTCTATTTTTCAGGAGAGAAAAAAGCAGTTTGGCAATGTGTAGTAATTTGCCTCAGGTTCAACAGCTGTAAGCTGGGGTATAAAACCTGGGAGTCGGCCTCCACAGCCAAACACCTGGGGGTGTAATTCCCGAGCCAGTAACTTTTCCTTTACGTCTTATACACAGTAACCAACAGCCACTGCCTGGAACCAAAGCGTAAACCATGTACGTTAACCACACTATTGGAGGTCCTCAGTTTCTAAGTACCTGGTTCTAGCACTTGATTGGAAAGAGAAGGAAAAATGGAGGAAATGTAAACAGGCTTTAAGAACAGGGGCTTTTACATAAGTGGGCTTGGGATTTGCTCTTTCACTCCCTCTGCTCTAGTACTGGCTTCTTTCAGTCCATCCTTTTCTGCGATCTGTTCCCTTGACAGTGCTTCAAAAATTCCTACAGCAGATAAATATGCATCCAAGTGTTCATCTTAGCATTACACGTATCAACAAACTGGAAATAAAAAGTATATAACAATGGAGGATTGGTAAAAGAAATCATGAAATATAATGGGGCATTACATAGCTATTAAAGTTTCTTTGAAAAGCATTTAATCAAAGATGAAAACATTTACAGTATTAAGTGAAGGCAGGGTATAAAATTTTATGATTCCAGCTGTTTTTTAAAAAAGATGGGTACACACACTGGCACGTATATATCAAAGTACACGAACATGCTAACAGTAGGTCTCGCTGTGTGTGCTATTTATACAGATGGCATTGAACATTATTTTTTTAAGTAGGAGGGAAAGGAGAACATTTTAAAAGCTTTGCAGCTTCCAAGACTGTAACTACTGCTCTGAAATGTATAATGGTTCTAAAGATAGCTATTCCCACGTCCCTGTCTTATGGTTAAGAGCTTTTATGACTGTATAAATGGAAAGTAAGGACAATAACCTACCATATAATATTCTATTGCTTAGAAGGAACTTCTGCACACATGGTTTAATTACATCCTAAGACCAGACTCCTAGATATTCAGAAATTTGCCTAAAGTTACTTAGCAAGCAGCGGAGCCCTGGCTTAAACACATCTTTCCCCTTAAATTCCTGACCTTTTCACTGCATCATGCTGTCTTCTCTAACACATCATCCTAACTCATTTTACTAAGAGCTTCGGATCTAAGTTTCCATTCTAAGATTACAAATAATGTGCTAATAAAGTCATGACTATGTTAACAAGAAAAAACTAAAAACTAAAAATAAAGCATCATCCACAGAAGAGTAGTGCCCCCACCCAAAATTCCAGTCCTATCAAGACGCAATTCTGAAGGGAATGAAAACAGACCTCTCAACCAAGGACCAAACTACAGAGGAAGAGTACCTTCAGCAGCTGAAAACGATACATTCGGGTCTAATCATGCCAAGCTTTGTAAACAATGTGTATGGAATAAAGAAAATGAACTTGGCTGTTATCTAGACTTGGGGATAAATCCCGATTTTGCTACTTTTTAGCTGTGTGACCTAAACAAGTTGCACAACTTCTCTACGCTTCAAATATGGGTAAAAATGGGTCACCACTGTTTACCCCGGAGAACAAGGACTAAACAAGTCAACCTGTGGGAAAAGGGCCTTCCAAAGTCCTAAACAGGCAACAACCAAAAATTACACAAAGCTTCAAAGACTTTATATCCATTCAGGAATAAGTATCTCGTGGATGGGTAACTGAAGAAAGTGAGGTGTTCTAAGGCATGTTCCTAGTCAGTCGGCTTCTGAGACCACAGTGCCAAGGTTAGAAAGTCACAGGGGCCATGGACCCAAGTCGGCCCCGAACCTGGGGGGCCGTCATCTACGTACGGCCGTGAACTTACTTAACACTGCAGCCACCGCCCTCTCCTTGGAAAAAGGTTAAAATATGCCAAAAGGAACAAATATTAATAAAGGAAAAAAGGGTCATAGTTTCAAAGAAACTTCATCCTTACCTACTTCTCAGAAAAATATGCTTTGCTTGCTTAATTATTTTTTCCAGAAGCCCTTCACTGGACTGTAATGAGTTAATTTCATTTTTATCAAAAGCCTGAGGACCCGAAAGTCTCATTCTCTTGTGGCCAAAAGGTGCACTTGCTGGGTGAGGCATCATGATGGAGCTCAAGGTCTGTTTATGAAACTGTAACAAAACAACCATTTTATCTTTTATTTATTTCTCTTAACTGAGGTAAAACGTATGAGTTTCAGGTGTACAATGTAATGATTCGCTATTTGTACATATTACAAAACAATCACAAATCTAGTTAACATCCATCACCATAGTTACAAAAATTTTTTTTAAAAATCACCAATAATCACATATTAAAAAGACAGAAGAGGCTGGAATACATATGCTTCTATTAAGTTTCTTGTGGGGGTTCTTTTGAAATTAGCCTAAACTGTGAACCAGCTCTCTGGACACAGTTCTAGATAACCTATAAGTAGAATATGTCCCGAAATAACTCAACTATCCTGTTAATAGGTTCTGGCAAGATGTTTTCCCTCATCACCCTGTCAGCGTCCCTCTTCCCTCTGCACAGAGACTGGAAATTCAGATGATCTCTGTGTATATATGTATGTACACACATATACATATGTCTCTTTTTTCTGTATGTCTTTACATATAGAAATAGAGCAAGGAGCTTTCACATCACAGATAGTGAACGTCATTGCCATGAGAACAATGAGGACTCAGCACAGGGGCCTGTGCACATTCACTGCCCTGGAAACGCTTACCACAATGCAAAGATAAAACATTCATTTCATTACCTCTCTAATTAGTAGGTGCAAATTATGCTCGAGGACATAAAGATGGTCTTCTGGACTTTGCTTCTCAGTAGCAGACTTCTGGGATTTCTTATCATTTGAGGAATGGCACAAAGAAATAGATAACTGCAAACCTGTTTACAAAAAGAAGTAGGACAGATACAAATGACCTAAAATATGGAAAGGCACAAACTGTTTTCGTAAAGGGTAGTCATAGCCCATTCCCAAAAGATATATTCTAAACTTGAAGATTAGGCTTCATGACTAACATTTTTACACCAAAATGACTACTTATGAATATGCTCAACTACTGTGTATTTTAACAATCCAAATTCTGTTGATCTACAGTGAGACTGTTGACCTTGAGCTGTGGCTAAAGACAGGTGGAGAGAAGCTATATATTATTTGTTTTTTCTTGCCTTTAAAATAAAAAAACAAAACAAAACACAACTTTAAAAAAAAACCCACATATTTGGTATCTAGTCTAATTGACTAGAAGACACTCTTTTTTGCTGCCATGAAAACCAGAATGGAATCTTTCACTTCTAAAACGTATTCTTAAGACAAGTCCTATGAAGATATTCCTTAGAACTGATGTAAATATACAAGTGCATAGCTAACTAGAAACTGATCTCCAGGGCAAGTCTAACTGCTTTAGACTAATTAGTGTCCAATTTCTACAAACTTAGGAATATTATGGGTATTTAGTAAATCAAACATTGACTAGTTGACATCTCCTTTAGACAGTAAGGCAGGATCCCTGAAGAACCTTCCAGAGATGGTGTGAGCATAGACACCTCAAATCACCTGCTGCTGAGTAGCAGTTCTGACAGTGCAAAACATACATAAAGCCCAGGAGTTACAATATTTGTAACACAGAGAACTGCCAATGCAGTCTGTGTTGCACACTTTACCGGCTGCCATCATGGGTGGCATGCTATCTCTTTGTTCTCACTGTTGCCCCGACACACCCATATAGCTACCCACTCTGCCCTGTTCCCCAAACCACAAAGTCCTATTTCTAATAACCTCAAAAGGATTGGCTGCTCTTACTTGGAAAGGGCTGAGAGATAATCTGATTTTTCACTACAATGTGAGGGATCTGTGATTTAATTTGAACAGCTTCCCGAGAGAGCTGTGCAAAAATTTCTTTACACAGGAGGACATTTTGTGCAGCTTCTAATTTCGTCTGCCAATGTGGGGAACCTGAAAGACAGGGGATGTATGTCAATTATATAACTATATTATGCATTACCTAGCTTAAATGGTGATCTGAATACATACAACAAAAGTTCATAAAGCACTGTATTAGAGCATATCCCTTCCAAAATATATAAAAATTCTCACTTATTCTATAGAGAAAACTGGCAAATAAGTTCAACCTTAAAAAAAGAACTGTACAGTTACTCACTAATAGTTAATTAACAACTTATAAATAATACATTTTCACTTGTTCTTACTCTATTTTTACTATCTATATCTATCTTCAGTTTATTTATAACTAAGCTCAGATAAGATCAGAAATTAGAAAACAGAACATAACTACACCTGGTTTGGATTTGGGTAAAGGTCGTTTGAAGAGGTTAATTGTGCCGAGATCACCTATGTCTGGGGCCTGTTTTTGAATTGAAACCTATGTGACAATAGAAACATGAAAAAAATGTCAGCAAATTAGCTTCTTAGCCAGTAATAAGGAATTACCTAAAAAATACTTTGACAAATACCTTGATATACGCAGACCCCTCTAAATCACTAGGGATTTGGACATCAAGGGGACAGTAATCTTCAGGTATCTTCTTATCCAGATCAATATCTGTATTCTTTATTACTTCAAATGTACCATGATGAGGAAACAGAGATCCTAAGAGGGTATTAAAAATTGAAAATAAAATGAACATATTAATTTAACATAAATTATTAAGTATATAATACCTTACATCTACATCATTGAATCATAAATTAAGTTCCCAGCAAAAATGTGTGTTTCAGGGAAGGGTGGTGAGCAAAGGAAGAAAGAAGTCAGGGAAAAAGAGTTATGTACCTTAAAACAGTTGACTCCTTGGTCTAATGGAACCATTGTAATATGAACTCCGGAGGCCATCCGATTGTTTATTCCAATGTGGTTTTGATAAAATGGATGTACCTCTAGAATGTGCTTCTTCAGACTTAAATCTTGGAGATTAAATACTTTGGAGCTCAGCTTTAGTAATAAGGCTGAAATTGGAGTGTTCTGAATCGAGCCAGAGAGGGACAAAAGGATACCACCTTTTTTTCAACTAGCTTCTAGATTTGTATGTGATGTCTTTTTGTGTAGTTATGAAGTTTGAGTATGTTGTTTGTTCTGGGCTGCTGAATTATGGCAGGAGTGGGTGGTTAAAATCGACCTGCTGTTTTAGAACAAGGGAAGACAATCAAAAACAGAATGTAATCAAATCCTCTAATAATCATGGGTGACTGTCCCATAGAAACTGAGGAAGTACTTGCATGTAACTACTTGTTGGAAAGAACTTACAATGTCCAGAGCCAGAAAGCACTGCTCCTGCAGACCACCTAGTAACACATAAAAATGTCTTTGCCTCTAGAACTCACCTCTGTAAGACTGTACCTTCACAATTCAAAATCCCCTAAGCACATCAATGTTGAGGCACTGAGGTGCTCCAGTATTTGCCTTAAGCACCTCAACTTACTTTCCTCTACTTTAATTTTAGGATAATGACAGCCTCCCTGTTAAATGAGTCCTGTTAAAATATCACTCTCCAACTATTAGCACAATCATCACAGCTGGGCATCCTTGCTCTGTTCCTTGGCAAAGCTTTCACTCCATTGGGCTGTGAATCTTATAAACTTTTTACTGTACAGCTCCTCTGAATATACCTTCATAGATAACAAGACATACTGTGATTACCTCTTGAAACCCATTATAGCTCAACAACAAAGTTATACCAAAAGATGTGAATTCAAGATGACCAAGCTTTGGCGCACACCAACGGAGTACAGCCCTTAAGTTAGTGTTGCAGCCTTGGCTGAAGGGGAAAAAGACATTTGCCCCATCCTCTTTCTTCATGCAGGACGTGAAAACAATTCAGCAGACTTAAAGGAGAAAAAACAAAGAATAAGGAAGAAGAGAAATGTTTCTTTTCTTCTTTTGTGATGGGTTTTGAAGGGGTACAGGTAAGTCCCTGACTGAGGAGTCTAATGCAACCCCCTTACTTCTGACTAAAATGTCAGTTATGGCTCAGGGTGTGTCAGCACACAAAGCCTATCCTTCAACTTTCTGTTAAATGTAACTGGAAGGTTTTCAAATTGAACCTAAACTAGTTATGTATATTTACATAAGGCTAGGGTAAGAGTTTAGTTTCTTCAAGATGTTTGTGTGTACAGAAATTAAAACTTCAAAATGCAACATGTAACTGAGAAACAATATGCTATAGAAGAATATGTAACATTACAACTGACCCTGTATTGTTCTTTTTGACAAACTATAAAGGCATAGATTTTAACAATTATACCTGCACTTCTGTAGCTCAGGTCTCCAAGAATTTTATCTCCAACTTTTCTAAGTTTCCAGTGTTGCCTTAATTTCAAAAGCTCAGAGTTGAAGTCTCTTTGCAGCTTATTTTCTTGGTTTTCAGTGACTGACTTAGTCAGTCTTTCTGCCCCCTTCAGTAGGATCTGTGCTGCTCCCGCAAGTGACTTCTTTTTAGATATCAACTGCAGTGTCTGAGGGTTCTATCAAAAACAATCCAAAACTGTAGTTCTGTATTATTTTTAAATGATTTTTAAGTTATACATTTTATCAATAAAATACATACTTCAGAGGCAATTTATAAATTAAAGAAAAGCAAAAATAGGGTAAAATACACATAACAATGTTTTTTAAAAAGTAACAACCTTAACCTATTCCTTGATCAACTCAAAGGCTCATGTTAAATCAGAAACACCACAGGGAACTACAGATCAGAAGCATGGTGGCATTGGTCTTGCCCAGCCTAGGCGAGGGTCCCCTCGTATGTACTGCCACTCCCCTCCCCACCATGGGTACATCCTTCTGTGGTGCTCATTAGTTTACAACAATCCCTGCTTGAAAGTCACCTATATGGCAGAAACCGCTATACCCACAAACTCCAGAACAAAGCATAGCACACAGCATTTGATTTCATGAATCAATGAATGATTCCAGTGTGTACAGCCCTAAGTCATCTTATATTCCAGAAAGCTTTGTAATTAAGACTAAAACTATGCAGCATTTATAATAAGTATACTTCACTGAAGGCTGATTTTTGGAAAACTGGTATCAAAATCTGTGTATTTTATATACACACCAAATATCCATAATCAGACATGCTTCCAAAAAACCAAGTTTAATAAAAGAAAGTTTTCTGGCTTATGAGTCAAATCACAAAGTTACATAAAAATGTCACAATACTCTCTTGATCATATTATAAAACCTAACTCTAAGTTTTTGCAGATCTCAAGAAATTCCTGGAGACTCCCCTTTAGGGCAAGTGAAGAATGGGATGAGTAAGGTGCTGTAGTTCTCATCTGGGTCTCTAACCACTGGCTTAACTGCAAGCTGAACATACCACAAATACCTCTGGGCCTTAATATTCTCTCTGTAAAAGGAAGGAAGCAGATTTAATGATCCTAAGAAGTCTTCCAGCACAATGTTTCTAGATGTTGACACTACTACCTCATGAGTCACTACAATCAACTGATCTTTTTCACAAACGGGTTCTAACGACCATCGCGTCCTCTCCGTGCTGCCAGTCTGGTCATGGTCCTTCCTGATGTTTCCTTGAGGGACCTCCTAACTGACCCTCCTGACTTCAGACCCTTCATGCTGCAACTCATCCTTCTGCTGTCTCCCTTTCAGCTAGCATTTAAAAGTTTAATACACTCTCCATCATATCTCCACAATTCTACCTAGATTTCAATACTCTCCATAATCTGGCCTGACTTTTCCAACCAGGCCCTAAAATGGTCTGGGATGGGGGTGGGGACGTTAGAGGGGAAAACTAAGACTTACAGAAAATAACTTGTTCAAGGACACAGGGCTAGTGAGAGTACAAGGATTTGAACCCTGGTCTATTTGACTCCAAAGTCATTTTACCATCACATTTTTGTTTAATATATTACAGACTAATGATCCAGGCTATAATAATTTGTTAAGATTTGGGAACCTTTAAAGTATTACATTATCAATGAAATGTAACTCTTCCAAGGGTAACAGGTACATTAATAAAGTAACAGATAAAGAGATACAGTTTTATGCCTTTGTTTTGAACCAGTCTTTGAATTTTCATCTGTACTTAATTTTGCATGAAAGGAAAAAGCAACAACAGGCAAACAGCCTAATAATGGTCCCAGGACTTAATAAAATGGTGCCATTATTCAATTAAATTAAGCCCACAAATACCTGTTTTGGAGGAAGTGCATCCTGAGAGACGGGATCAAGAGTCATAAATTTTTTATCCCTCACAATACTGAGAACATCGTAGAGAACGCACATTTCTGTCAAGGCACTTCTCAAATTGTTCCTCACTGAGTCCCAGGGCCAAAGGGAAGGTTGAAATTTTACCAACCCTAAAAAGAGAAAGAAAAGAAATACAGATATTAGTTACATTGAATAGAAGACTGCTCAGTTAGATGTTTGAAAGTGCTAAAAAAAAGAAACAATGGTTTTTATTCCAAATTGTTTGTATTCCCTCTTTTAGTTGTATTCCCTCTACTTGTTGAATCTTTAACATTTAAGATAGCATTCCTATAATGGCAAAACAAATACAATATCCAATTTCCACAGCTTAAATCTAACATTATCACATCACAGGGAGGTATCCAAATATCTTTTAAAATTTACCCAAGCTAGCCAAGAAATGGAAGCAACCTAAGTGTCCATCAGTAGATGAATGGATAAAGAAAATGTGGTACATGTACACAATGGAATATTATTCAGCCATAAGGAGAAAACAAATCCTACCATTTGCAACAACATGGATGGAGCTGGAGGGTATTATGCTCAGTGAAATAAGCCAGGTGGAGAAAGACAAGTACCAAATGATTTCACTCATCTGTGGAGCATAAGGACAAAGCAAAAACTGAAGGAACAAAACAGCAGCAGATGCACAGAACCCAAGAATGGACTAACAGTTACCAAAGGGTAAGGGACTCGGGGGTGGGAGGAAGGGAGGGATAAGGGGATAAAGGGGCATTACAATTAGCACACATAATGTAGTGGGGGCATGGGGAAGGGAGTATAGCACAGAGAAAACAGTAGTTGTAATGGGGTATGTGGTGGGGACTTGATAATGGGGGGGATCTAGTAACCCGGTGTTGCTCATGTAATTGTATATTAATGATATAAAAAAAAAATGTACCCAAGCCTTTTCAATAATCTTTTTTCTTCCAGCTTTTTAAAACTTGAATTGTAGAGAAACCCCAAAATACATTAAAGTACAAGAATAAAAATGACCTACAATGACAGCTTTCAGATATTAAACACTATTAACATCTTCCAACTTCTTAATCATTTTTAAAGCTTAAATTTCATGAATACATGATCATTGTATAGAGTTGGAAACAACAGAGTGACAGAGTAAAAAGAGAAGAACTTCCTTTACTCCCCAGCCCTGATTCTTTCCTTTCCTGAGAGGTGATCACTATTAACAGGTGGGGTGTGCCCATCCAAATGCTCTCCTATGCATTACATATACTTCCATTTTTCTGTTACTTGCTTGCCCTCATTTTAATATGTCCTACAGGCACTTCCATGTCAACACATGCTGATGTACTTCCTTACCACTGTATGACATACTCTGAAGCATGCATGTACAATAAGCTTAACCCCTCCTATTCAATGAGTATGTAGATTGGCTCCAACAACACTAGTAGCGACAAACCTCTTGAACACACATGTACAGGCTAAATCCTTAGAAGTGACATTGTTACCAGCTGAGATGCTGGTTTCCCAGGATCATGTCTTGTAGGCAATGAAGAATGAAGCCAACAGACAAGAGTATGGAGCAACCAGCAAAGCTTTTAATGAAGAGTGAAAAGAAAAAGCCTCCTGCTACTCAGGAGGGGCTCCAAGGGAGGATGATGCCTTTAGGGCTGCAGGGTCTAGGGTTTATAAGCACAAGAAGGGAGAGATTTACATGCTTGGCTGGGGCTTGTTGCTAGGGCCCATCTGGGTTCAAAAGGAAAAAACTTTATTTTTTAGGAGTCCAGGGTGTGGCTACTTGTTTATTGCAAAGCCTTGACCCTACATCCCTCCTGACTGCAACTTGCTGGGGCCTTGAAACTTACCAGCCTGCGTCCCACTAACACCTGCAATATTAATGGGTCAAAGAAGATGCACATGTAGAACTTTTGACATATACGGTACTGCGGAACTGTTTTCCATAAAGGCTCTACCAATTCACATTTTCAACACTGGACATTAACAAGCTTTAACATTTCTCCTTATGTTTCAAAATAGCATTTTAAAAATGTTTTAATTTTTCTCTTTGCTACTAGTGAGATCTAAGTCTTTCCTCTGACCGCTGTTTATATCTTTGGCCTATTTTTCCAACGAGCTGTCATTGTCTTTTCAATAACTAAATCAATGATTGTGACTATTTTTTATTCTTGACAATGAGAATCCAAAAACCACTCATACTTTTTCTACAAAATTCTCTAACTAGCCTTCGCCTTTCGTTTTTGTCTTCCCTATGATCCATTTATTACATAGTAACTGGCGTAATATTTTTTAAAAACATCATCTACTATAAATCCTTCAAAAGCTTTCAATTCTTCCAGTAAGAGCCAAATGTTAATCCTGGCCTAGGCTCTACATGATTTGGCTCCCGCCTACCTCTTAGACCTTATCACATGCTCCGGTCAAGAGAGACCTTTTCCCTTTTTCAGTCAGTGTTACGATCATAATCCACGTTGCACAGGGA